AAAGTGGTGTTCAATTTACTCTTGAATATAATTCTAGTTTTTAATCTATGGCCAAGATGTACTTTTTAAAAATTGAGGTTAAAATTATAAGAATTATAGAGTTACTCTGGAATATGTACCAATGAAACACCTCTCTTTTTCTTGAATTGTAAGTTTTTCCCCATAAACAGTGCAAATTATGGGGTGAACTTTATGTCTTATTTGGTTTTGCTTCTCCATATCATAAATCAAATTTGAACTCAACTTTAATTAAGTCTGAATGGACCTATTTCTGCATAGCCATATCTCACATTTCCCCTGGTTCTGATTTTCTAGCCACATTTTCCCTCACCTTGATTTTCAATTCAGTTGTTATCCAGCTTTCTAGTAGGTTAACGTAAGCCACTGCAACTGCATTGTAAAATAATGCAGGAAACAAGTAAATGCTTAAAACGTACAAGAGAACTGGTCATATCCTCTTCCAGAGAACTAGTCATATCCTCTTCTTCCTCAAAAAGGGCACAGTCCAGATAATGCCAAGCTGAGGAAAGAGAAATAAAAAACAATTTACTTCAGAGCTTCAGATAAAGGAATATAGAAATCTTCATCACCAGCGCTAAGATCCCCTATAATGATCCTCAGAGCTCTGAGAAATGTTCACCACCACCAGGCTATAGAGACACTGAAATATACATAGATGGCTTGTAATTTAATCATATAGGGTCTGATGGTAATTTCTGGAGGGCTAAGTATAGGATGCCCAATGAATCCATTGACACTATAGTATTTCTGTAGGCTCCTGCTATATTATTCCTAATAGGAGATTGATCTTAAGTATATAATAATAAATACCACAAAGATTTAATGATTAAATTATTTATGAAGCACTATAAACAATTTGGAAAAAAATTAATCACAGACCGGTTATAGGCATTATGGAACATTCATATGATGGAATGAAATGCAGTTATAATTCTAATGTCATTTTAAAATAACTTAATTTATTATTTACCCTAAAAAATTCAGGGCCTTCAGGTTAAAAATGGAAGACTGAATACTTGCATTTATTTCTGCTCTCTCCAAAACACAAGCAAATAAAAGTAACAAAAGAAAATGAATCTCACAAGGGCAAAGAATATAGAAGACTTTAGCAGGTAAGAGATGTCAACAAAAATTTTGAAAGCTAGAGAGCCAGACAGATGCTTGGTGTCTAACTTAGAGAAAGCTAAAGCTTAAGTGAAGGTGAGTGAGGAAACCATGGCTGAACAGTCCAAAGGCTCAGGAATGGAGCCCATGGCTATTTCTGCAGGCAGGAATTTGGGGTGGGACTGAAAAATTGGGAAGTGAATGTAAGGTTGGGTTGAAGCAATGTAGAGAAAATAAGGGAATTAGGTGAAAGCTGTCATGTTGAAAGATGAGATGCTCCCCTGCGAACTTCTTCCTTTGCCTCCCAAAAGCAGGATTCTGGCTTATCCTCCTCAAACAAAATCTAGAACTTCTTGCTGGGGAAACTGACCAGCCCAAAAGAAAATGTATGCAGATCCTGACATCTGGTCAACATTCAACCTCTAATAAAACACCATATTAGAAAGAAGAGCAAGGAGGAGAGCGGGTTGGGGTGGGCTGGGATAACAAGGAAGGGGTTAGGTAGAAAACAGATAGTTCTTATCTCCACTGTCAAAAGTCAATTGGAAATACCTAAAACAGAAATCAAACATTAGTAGTATGAGGATGTTATTCAGAAAAGCAGAGATGAAAAAAAGTTCAAAGTGGTTTGCCTGTGGGTGGTGGGAACAGGGGATGGGAAGGGATGGAATAGAAAA